GGAAGGTGTGAATGTTAGTGTTAGGATGGACATGAGCACTTGGACCAGATGTGAAAGAAGATGATGATGAAAACAGTCCAGTATCTTGGACCAAATGTGAAAGAAGATGATGATGAAAATAGTCCAGTATAAGGGAACCTTATTTCATTAAATAGAAAATCTTTAGAGATAAAGATCTTACCACTAGGATCAAGGCGCTTGTACCCTTTGTGTGTGGAAGAGTAGCCAAGGAAAACACATTCTTTAGAGTGCATGTCAAGTTTGTGTGTGTTATAGGGTCTTAAGAAAGGGAAACAATCACACCCAAAGGTTTTGAGAAACTTATAATCAGGAATTTGAAGGTGTTGAGTGAAGAAGGGTGATTTATTATTTTGTGAAATGGAAGTAAGTCTATTTATAAGATAGGTAGCTATTAAAAAGGCATGGTCCCAAAATTTTAGTGGAAGATTGACTTGAGTAAGAAGAGTTAAACCAGGTTACTCTATGAGTAATACCTAGACTTGAGAGGTATTGGGTGAGAGGCCTAAACTCTCCCTCATCATCTGTTTGTATGGATTTTATTTTTTGATTTAATTAAAGTTCAATAAAGACTTTGAATTGTTGGAAGGTTTCAACAGTTTGAGACGAAGTTTAAGAGGATAGATCCAAGTATACTTACTATAGGCATTAACACAAGTAAGGAAATATGTGTATCCACATGATGTGGTGACAGGGGAAAGACCCCAAAGATCACAAAATATTAATTCAAGAGGCTTGGTATAATTTGCATTTGAAGCGTGAGATGGAAGTCTATGAGCTTTGCCTAGACAGCAAGCATTACAAAAATCAAAGAGACTTTTATTAGGTATAAGAATATTACAAATAGTGAGAACATGTTTAAGAGTGTCATGGTGGGGATGCCCCAGCCTACAATACCAAATTTGATACAAACTAGGAGATTTGGGATAGGGAATACCATTATCTTTATTACATTGAAAAGGCATAATATGCCTGGAATCTAAGTTAGAAGTGGAAACATGGAGAGCTTGAGGGGAGACTTGAGGTAAGGCTGAATCCAAACTGTCAAACTTGTAGAGACCATCATTACCAAGTGACCCTCGTAACAAGATGTTAGAAGAAGTTTGGCATTTCAAAAACATGTATTAGCATGGAATTCAAAGAATACATAATTGTCTTTGGAAAATTGGCTAACATACAATATTTTTGGTAATGGCTGCGACAAGTAAGAGCTTGTTTAATTTTAAGGAAGTGTTAGGGTAGTTGGGTGAAGGAAAATATAATGAACCAAGAGATTTGATAGAAAAACCTTGACCATTCCTAATTTGGACCTGATCTGAGTCTGGAAGTGAGATAACATCCATGAGATTAGTTGGATCTGGTGTAACATGATGAGTAGCAATAGAATCAGGATACAAAGCTTGGCTATATAAGGAACTGCTGGAATTTGTGTATGTGACAAGAGCTTGAGGTCTTGTTGCACCAAGTTGATTGTTGTAGAGAGAATGAGGAGGCCTTTGAGATCTCATTTGTTGTGGTACATGATGACGATAACTAGGGTGATTCCAGACATTGGGATGTAGATTGCCATAACCAGCCAAGGATGAAGCAGTTCCATAATTAACACAAGACTCAAGTGAATGGCGATAGTAACAATAGCTAGCTTCATGGCCATGTTTGTAGCAGATATGGCACTAAATTAAACCTCTGTTACCAAAACGGACACCACGTCCTCTAGATCTTCCACCCCGAAAACCTCCTCTATTGCGATAACCACCATGTCCACCAACGTAGGAATTAAATTGATCAGTACTAGGAGTTTCAGGAAAGGTATGTTGAGAATACATTGAAGCGTACCTTGAGTAAGGTTAACATTGACATTCTCAGTAACTTCTTTCTTAGCTTTATCAATGTGAGCTTCTTGAGCAAGAAGAAGAGCTTCAAGCTCATCAAGAGACGCGAAGGTTGACCTAGAATTCACCACGACAATAACTAGATCATATTCAGTAGGTAACGCTTCAAGAATCAACTCAACTTGATCGCGAAGCAGAACAGGATTACCGATAGACATGAGTGTATTCACAATCGTGCAAACACGCACCAAGAACTCGGTAACTATGCACATTCCTTTGGAGAGTGATCGGAGCTCCGATCGAAGCTGTCGCGACTTCGTTTTCATTTGCATATAACAATACGCATGAATTTCCTCCCATACCTGCCACAAATGGCGAAGAAGAACAAACCGAGACAGAAGAGCGTCAAAAATGGTAGAAAGAAGCCACATGCACAACAACACATCTTGTTCTTCCCAATTGATGTTAGCAGGATTCTCAGTTTGCGATTCGCGATCTGCAACAAAGAGGAACTGCTCAGAAATTTAGGGAGAAACCACATATTTCACCATTTTTATGCCTCGAATGTGCTTCAACTTGTTGTAGCCATTGACGGTAGTTTGATTAGTCTAATTTCACATAAATTTTCCGATTTGAAAGTGGTAGCAGCAAGGAAAAGTTTGAATTTGCAGATTGCGATGTAGTTGACGCCATGGAAGAAGAGAAGTTAAACCACGCTAGTGGGTTCAAAAAAAGAAAGCTTTATATATAGAGAGATGTTTATAAGTTGGATAATACAACTAACTCAGCAGAAAGTAATGTTAATCTATCTCTAATAGAAAGTAACTATCATTATATGTGTATATATGTATGCAATTTCATGTATGTTTTGTTTGCAATGATAGTTTTATTTTGAATTAATTAATTTTGACTAAATGTGGATTAAATATAAAATAACACATGATTTTTTTTTACAGGAACTTATGACATATTTATGCAAAAGAGAGTTTAATATTAAATGATTTTCAAATAAATATTCATGTAAAAAAATTGAAAATAAAATCAATTGAAAAGCAAAAAGTCTAAATTTTATAAATAAAATCAATTCAACTAAAGAGCATCCAAAGGTGTTAAATCTCCACTAAAAATAAAACCAAACATACACTCTCTCAAGTAATCACTCTCTTCCCTCTCTAAAGTAAACAAAAATCATATTTAGCCCCCCTAACATTTTACAAGTAATTCTTAAAATATATGAAAATATGTCTCATTAATAATTCAACTAAATTCTCACAAAGCATAGTGTGTCTGACATGTCATCCCAAATTGAATATGAAATCATATACTTGAGGGTCTAACAGCATAGCCTAAGGAATATTGATATCATCTATGACATAGTGTTCATAATCATCAGTGATACAATCTAATTAACATATACATAAACATAACTGCATATACTAGTACATTACAATTTTAAAGGTTCAAAAGCAACTGCAAATCCTTTAGAGAGCTTCATTCTGTGCACATCAAGTAATTGGTGGGCGAGGCAGCCTCTTCGCAATTTCCTGTCAAAATAAACATGTCAATCTTTATGCCCAATGCCAATGTTCAAACTTCAAACTATAAACACTGCCTATCAAAATTTCGAGTAATATGAAAAAATTTAAGATGAGTTTCTGATAAAGCTCAAAGAAAGAGAGTATAAGATTCATAGCAAGAAAGATAATATACTTTAAACAGCACCAGCCAAATTCAATCCAACATGAATTGCCTATATATTAGCCTACATAGTTAGACAAGTTACAAAAAAATCTGCATTTCTTGAATTGCATCAATCATCAACTTCCTTACATCTTTCCAGTTTCCATCAAGTTTCAAATCAAACAACGACATTGTTCCATCTGAGCCCAACATGGTGGTTCCACCCATATCATACTCGAGTGTGTCTAGATGTTTGAGGCCAGATCTGACTGTTAGTATTGTATGGACATTCTTAAACTCATTACCCAGTTCTTAACATTTTTCCAAGATGTCTCTGACCTGCGTCTAACATCTATATAAAGAGAAAATACACACTCGCTCAGGAACACACATTGTTCTATACTATTGCTAAATCAAACCAAGCACTGACTTGAGCATTTGAACAACCTTGCAGGTACCCGGCCTTGTCTATTCTCATTCTCTGTCATGCACAGTAGGTTCAACCGCTCATAGAAAAACTCTAGAGAATCTCTAATCTTAACAACAAAAGATGTGTGGATTTTTTATGAATCGGCAATATATTCTTGGCAAAGGTTATTTTAGGTTGCAAATATATCTATAAGAAAAAAAAATAAAAATCACATTTATTAAGAAAATCAACATACATGACTTTTTGTGTTTTCCTTAGAATATGTTTCATGGAAAGATGTAAAAACAATTTTAATATTATTGATTATGGAGAAAATGAAAGAGAGCAAAATTAATGCAATTTGCATTTATTTTTATATAGAAAAAGATGCACCTTTAAAACAAAATAAAAGTTTCTTTTTTCTTTGCTTATAATTTGGAAAAAAGAAAAAATGAGTGTATTTTTCATATAAATTGGGACGGAGGGACTGTCACAATTTGATTTGAGAACTTGATGGCAAGGATGCAAGGAACTTATTTTTCTGAATAACATAACAGTGTTACTTTCATAGCAAAATCGTGTTTTCTTCTGTATCCTCAATGCATGTGCGGCAGGGTAGGGCAATTCTTGAGGGAATTGCTCTAAAAGTAGCAATCTTGCAGGGAATTCTAATTCTCTTTTTCTGGCATAAAATATTATTTAAGGTCTCTTTGGGAGGGAGATTTTTGGAGGGGAAGGGGAGGGCTTGTTTTTCTTTCTAGATGTTTCTAAAAATGAATGAAGTGTGATCGAACTGTTATATGATCAAATATAATGGTATTCTTTCTTTTCTTTATTTTTAAACCTCAAATATAGATATTAAAATAAGACCTAGCCCTCCAAAACCCGTCTCCCAAAAAGACCCTTATTAGTTATAAGCTCCCTACATCCTCATGCATTCAAAAACCAAGATGTTAACTTCGTTTGGAAAAGATTCAATTTTTCGGGATTTTGTAGGATGGATACCTATACAAGATCATGTTTAGCTCCTCCAATAGGTAATGAGTTTGTTACAACTATCTTCATGCAGCAAGAACATCGTAGGGAAGCCTGCTAGTAGCATAGTCAACAATGTCCTAAGAGACCAAAGACCAGAGTTAAAACTGAAAATTTACTACTTGCATGACCACTGAGAAGTCCCAAAGATCTGCAAGTCAATATCAAACAGTATTCCAACAGTTCCTAAAACATGAGCATGTTTTGATGTAAGCTTCTTGTAGCCCGTGTTTAGCAAGTGTCATACCACATGATCGCATTCAAACCGGAGCATATCGTTTTGGCACTTTATACTTAATCAAAAACATCGATTACCACATCATATTATGATACTCTGATTCATAGATATTTATTTTAACATGGTTCAAAATAATTGTAGTTAGAGGAGTAAGATGTGATCATTGTCTATTCCTAACTTCCATAACAATCAGAATAACCGATTATTTTCTTTTTTTGATAGGCAAATGTTAGTACGTTAGTGGTTATGTTAATGTTGGTTTTCAGGATATGAACCCTGGACCTCTTGCTTAAAATCATCTTCAACATCCCTTAGCTCACCAAAGGAGCTAAGTGATTATTTTCTATTATTCATTCTCATTCTCTCCAAATACAAAATCTATGATTAATGTAAATTGAATAACCGACAGAATGCAACTATCGAAGGTACCTCAAACAGTTCGTTGATATTATCCGCAGTCTTTGCAGATGTCTCTATAAAAAACATTCCGTTCTTTTCTGAATAGTCCATGCCATCCTTCACGTGAACAAAAAAAAAAAGCTATTTAAGGAAAACAAGGCATTGCTTTGTTTACTATATAGTAATATTATTTAGGGTTGTTGTACTACCTGAACAGCCACTTCTCGCTTCTCGTGAAGATCAGCTTTATTACCAACCAATGCCATCACTATATCAGGGCTTCCATGTTTTTGTAGCTCCTAAATATGTACACATATATTTCAATTGCTAAAACAAAACTGAAAGAATATGTAGAAATGACGATAAAGAACCGTGCAACAATTGCATATATACCTTAACCCAGTACTGTGCTTTGCTGAAAGATTCCGGGCTTGTTATATCATAGACAATAACTGCAACCGCTGCACCACGATAATACAGTGGTGCAAGAGCAGCATACCTGAAACAGATAATCAGCAACCAAATTTTTCTTCAGAATGTACATCTTGTTGAAATAAGAAAAGTGGGAATACTTGTGAGAATCAAAATATATAGGGAAACGATTCGTGTGCAAACTGGAAAGATAAATGAAAGTTACCTCTCTTGACCAGCAGTATCCCATATTTCAAACTTGACTGTTGTAGAGTCTTGAAGAGCAATTGTTTGTGACAAGAAAGATGCTCCAACAGTTACCTTACATTACAAAGTCTAAAAATTATAAGAACCATGAAATACTTACATTGAAAATACGAAGTGATCAAAGCAACAGAGTCTTACCTTGGATGTTGGATCAAACTGACCACGGACAAATCGCAGAACAATACAACTCTTACCAACACCAGAATCACCTAAGAGGACGAGCTGTGTTCAGTGAGATTTAAAGGTTAGTTATTCAGTCCTACAAAGATTGAACAATGAAATATTTGGGGTATGAAATGATTTTTTTTATTAATAAATTCAACTAAATCCCTTCATTTTTCAAGGACTTGCAAAGTCAAAAACAGTACAGTAAGCAGAAATATGTGCGGTATATTTCAATTTACACTCGTATTGGTTTCCATAAACACTTCTATAAGTTGTTCTCAAAACCATGATAGAATTATAGTAACTAAAAATATAGTCAAAAAATGAAAAATGAAATATTTTCTCAAACTTAGCAGGTACTTAGATTTTCATCTACGGTCATGTTTCCCATTCATTCTTTCTTGTGCAGTGGATCGAATTGCTGTCTTGTCTAGTATACAGATGATAAATAATGTTCAAAATTTTATAATTTTATCTGTTTCCATATTTCACATTCGTCCATTCTGTGGATATACACACGGTTTTTTATGTACACTCCTTATGTGGATGTGATTACTGGTTTGACAAAGAATGTAAGATGGGTCATTGTTATTACTTTGGCATGGCATTCGCATATTATAAACTATAATGCATGATACTAAACTCCAATGAAATCTTTTTCATGCTCCGGCCAAATATTTATAGCAGACCTTATAGAACAGTATACGGAAAAGAAAACAAACGTGCTAAATAATTCACTTCATTAAGAACAAAAAATTAAAAAGCTAAGCAGTGCTTTAAATTTTCACAGCTTACTTTAATTAAATTGTATTACTTCTGTTTGTTATTTTCTTTTAAGAAAACAGTTACTCAATCTGAGCAAAAACGGAGCTAGTTTACTATTTACTGCATAAATATAAAGTTTGATGTATAAAGAAACGGTTTGAAACCATGCACAACACTACTTAACAAAACACCAATCCAATGTAAGACACCAAGGAATCACAATCATGAAAAAAATGAGGCAAAGTGAAGCCAAAATCCAAAATTAACCATTTGCAACAAAAAATAGTAGTAGACACCTCATAAACAATATTAACTTCCTAAGTTAACAACAACAACAATCAATCCTTATCCCACTAAGCGGGGTCGGCTACATAGATCAACTTTAGCCGTAATGTTCTATCCAAATTGTTAATCTCGATATCTTTTTTAATAACTTCTCTTATAGTCTTTCAATGTCTTCTCACTCTCTAGTTGTTTGATTTCTCTCCATCTGATCTACTCTCCTTACCGCAGAATCTACAGATTTCCTCTCTACATGCCTAAACCACCTAAGTCTATTTTTCATAATCTTCTCTACTATAAGTGCTACCCCAACACACTAATATTTTCATTTATAATCCCATCACGTTCAATCTTACCACACATCCAACGCATCATCCTCATCATACTAATTTCTTTCTGCTACACTTACAACATAAAATAGCATGTTGAAGAACAACAATAACCCCATCAAACCATGTTGAAACAGGCATAATACAACAACGACAACAACAACAAAATTGGTTATCAAAATTAAGGAAATTAGCATAAAACACACCTTGACACGAAGATTCTTAGCGTCCTGTCCTCCACCATTCTCTGAATTAGGTCGACCTAGCTGCCCTGAATCCCTATCTGAAAACACAATCAAATCAACCCAAAACCCCATCAAACCCTAAACTCAAAAATTAATCCTAATTGACTAAACCCATTGAATACAAACCCAAAATCACATATCAAAACCACAAAAAATACAATTTTTCCAACCCTTTTCAGCTGCATGTTAATAGACAAGAATTTCAACAAAATTTCAAAACTTTACCAAACGAAGATAAGTAGAAATTGATTTTACCTGGAAAAGATGTGCCACAACCCATGGCGAGAGAATAAGGGATGATGGGTGATGCTGCACAACACAACACACCACTGGTATAAAAAAATTGGAACTTTTTTTTGTTGTTGTTGGTTGGTTGTGAGAGAAATAGGTGGGGTGAGAAGGATTCACAAAATCTGGGAAAATTGAGGGTTCGTTAATGGATGGATGCTTGGATTGAATGGAATAGAATCCTATATCGTGCTTTCCGTGAGGACGAGGATTCCACTTCTCGTAAAATTTAAAAAAAGGAATAATGTTTGCTTTATATTTTATATATTATTTTATACTCCTTCCTTATAAATATCATCTCACATGTCACATAATAAATGAGTACATTTATTTTGGTTTAAATTAATATATATATATATATATATATATATATATATATATATATATATATATATATATATATATATATATATATATATATATATATATATATATATATATATATATATATATATATATATATATATATATATATATATATATATATATATATATATGAGAGATAGATACAGGTTAATTGTGCCTCTTAAAAAATTTCACTTATAAAAAATTTGCATTGAAAAAATAATAATAATTAAATATATTTTTATTAAAATCAATGCATATCTTTAAAAAAAGAAATTATTTTATTCCTAACTTGTGCTCCTATGACACAAATTAGTTTATCCTTTTGATTTTTTTTAAGTCTATGATAAAATAATTTGTAGGTTGAATGGGTGAATATTTTACATTTTGAAAGATAAGATGTATGAGTAAAATCTTTTGAGTTATTTGTCTTAAGGTATGGGAATGGCGGTGGGAATTGAATAAGAACATGGAAGTATTCGAATAAGTATCATGAGCTTTGAAATTATAATTAGAGTAAGTAAACTCTTAATTTTTCTTAAATCTCAGTTTTCAAATATTCTTCTTAAGACAAGAAAAGGTTCAAGTTTTTGTTGTTATACAGTCTGTCGCACTATATTTTTAATACTTAAATTTGTTATTTTTAAGAGTTTTTACAATTAATTCGTTCTTATTTTATAAATTTTGATAAAGAATATGAAGATTTGTGGATAAGATCAAACCATGTTGAAACCTTCTTAACCAGACAAATTTCACAGTAACTTATTGTGAAAGTTATGATGAATAAGCAATAGGAGAGATGGAACATGAAGAAAGGAAGATAAGTAGAGAAGCGTACAAGGAGCATGTCTATCGAGGCGTGTCCATGAGAAAACATTGGTGTGATTCAACATCACCAAGTCATAACGGCGCTCAAAAGATTTATTGATGTTATCCAAACTTTCTGCACGAAATGCAAACACAATTATATGATAACATTGTGGCGCACCTATAAGGCATATCAGCTATCAAGATTTGGAAGGACCAAGTGATGTATTCATGAGCCCACTAGCGGAATCTCAACCTTCTTTCAAGGTGTGGAAGCATTTTAATTGAGCAATCACCTTGCAATTATGGAATGGCGCGTCGTGATCTTGTGAAGTTTGAATTTTACCTATGCATAGAAAAATGTGTTTAGTCATTAGAAGTAAGTTTTTAAAAAGTCTAAGGTGTTTTTATGAGTTAAGGGAAGGTGAAAACAAAGGTTCTCATTATGAGCTTGCTCTTCATCATTGTAAGTCTTTATATTTGTTTTTCAATTATAAAAACCATGAATCCCCTAAAGATGAGTGGCTAGTCCCCTTAAATTAGGTCCCTTATAGATGGTTATACTCTAAACATGTGATTCTTGTAATTTTATGTGGTTGTTCTATAACGAATCTTTCTTTATAACTATATAGTTTATTTGTTTTTAATGTTTTCTCCCATCTACAAAATTAGGATAATTTATTTATATCTCACGGAGACTTAGAATAAATTGTTTATCTAATTGGAAAAACTATGAGATTGTAATGATAGTTTGTGTTGTGAAAAGAATAATCCTGTCCATTAATCAAATTTTATGCGTCATAAAACCTTCGTCGTTAAGGTTAAAAACTCACAGTAGGTATGGGTTATTTTGACGAAACGGGTTGCCTTGTGATTGAAGACTCCCAATAACAGAGGGTTGGGAGGTCGTAACTCTAAGTTTTGTTAAATTGTCTTCTTATTTTACATTCCATACAACATTTTTCATTGCAATTGACTCTTAGTTGTTAGGGTTTTCTTTGACGAAGTGGGTTTCCTTATGATCGAAGACTCTCAATAGTTGAAGGATTAGAAGGTTGTAAATTTGTATTTTATAAAAGACTATAGGATGAGCCATGTGAATTCTCACATCTATGAGTAGATGATTCAAAAGGAAGGAACTTAATCGTTTTTAGCATTATCCTTTCAAACTGTTAGTTAGGTATTTATAATCGCATACACACAAAAATCAATAACACTTACACACTCCCTGTTTCTACTAATTAGTCACTCCAATGAATTCACAAGTTCAATCATCGTTTCCTAGTATAAGGTTAATAAAATTTTCGTGGATATGATAATTTTACTTGCCACATTGTGGTTTTTGTTGGCACAACTACTGCGACAATAATTTTTATTCTAAAAAAATGGTGTTGTCGCCGATGATTATTGATCACTTCAACAAGGCAAAAGGAGATTGTAATTTAGTCAAGTAGTTAGCCTTGAGAATCCTAGACGAGGTTTGGCTTTGGCATTGATGATGTGCTAAATTTTATCATAAATGATTCAACTTATGTCAGCTTCCTAAAAAGTAAGGATATACCAGATAAGTTGGGCAGTATGAAAGGTTGTAGTAGAACTGTGGCTTTTGGAAGTGATGTTATTAAGGATAAAGGTCATCCACATTTAAGTCGCAATGGTGAAGTTTTCTCTCTTGAATTGGGTGGATTTTCCATCTCTTCCTAACTTGTATGTAGCATTTTCTATGCATAATTCAAATGAAATGCTCTGATAATCCTAGTTTCCTCTTGTTACCTGCTTAACAAAAAGCACCACTAAAAATAAGACATTTGGTTAAATGATTTTACATCAGATTTTAAGATATATGATGTGAAAAATATTTGTCAAAGGATTTTACATCAGATTTGATAACAATATGATGTGAAAAATATTTGATTTAAGGATTTTACATCAAACATATATTTTCACTGATGTGAAAAGTAATGCGGTGTCAGTTTCATAAATAATAAGTTTTGTTATAAAGGATTTCATATTGGGCTTGTATTTGAAGGTGAGAAAACACTTAGAGGGGGGTTGAATAAAGGTTTTGAAAATAATATGGCAATAAAAGCACAAAGATTTTTATCCTGGTTCGTTGAACTCAACTACTCCAGTTCACCCTATCAAGAGTGATTTGCCTTTCTCCTCAAGGACTTAATCCACTATAATCAAACGAATTACAATGTCAACCACTAAGAACAACTGTCTTAGTCTTCTCAAGAACTACTGATCATAACTTGGTCTTCTTAAGGAACTTTTACAATCAAATGTAAACTAAACAAGTGTTTAAAATGCTTCTATGAAAGCTATATCACAATTGTGATTTATACACTTAAGATTAAGAACTAATGAAACTATTCAACAAAGAATTATAATTTGTATGAGAGTTTTGAGAGAGTTTTCAATAGTTTTGTCAATATTCGTCAATAAGTTTGTCAACTATAGAAAGTTGTTGAAGGCTTGCTTTTATAGACAAAGACTTCCAAGACGTTGCAAGCTTGAAGATCGTGTACTGCAAAGTAGCTGTAGCCTTTTGTCTTCACATGACTTGACCTTTCCTAGAAGTAAAACGTTCAGAGAAATCATTTTTGCCTGAGTTCTTGTGTCTAGCATAAAAGAGGAAAGAGTCGTTTGGAATATGCCAACGGATATAACTTTGAATAATCTTCTTCAACAAGCTTCTATTTCACAGCAATCAGCATTAGAGCCTTGAGGGATCAGAGTCTTGATGTTATCAGAGTTTGCTGTATCAAATTATTGCAGCAAGTGTGCTTCAGCGTGAATAACAGTTAGAGCAGAGTTTAGAGATCAACTCCTCAGTACTTGCAGCGAACAGTACTATCAGAGTCTTCTGAAAACAGTGCTTGAAACTCTTCATACAAAGTCTTCAGTTTACACTTCAGATTCTTCTGTAGGCAGCGCTCAGAGTCTTCTAACGAGATGCTTCTGACGCTCAGAGCCTTGCGTAGTTCAATGTTCAGATTCATTTTTGCTTTCAGAAGAATATTAAATTTAATATCTGCAACAAAAATACTTGAACAAATTTAGAGTATATAATTTCTTAATACAAAATTTCATTAGTGTTATCATCAAAACATAGAGATATAACTAAGAACCAATATGTGTTCTAACAATCTCCCCCTTTTTGATGATGACAAAAACATAGGAAATTTTGTTCAATAAAGAGATAAATATAACTCCCCCTGAGATTATGAATCTCCCCCTGAATTGAACACTAAGAAAGAATAGAGACTTCCCTTTTTGCATGAGTATTCTTTTTAGAATCAGAGCTTGATTTGGATGAACGTTTCAGAATCTGAGCCTGATTGTTTAAAACTTGATTTGGGGATCTCAGAGTTACTTTAATGAATTTTGTCAGATTTATCATTATAGTTCTAAAAGACTAAAAATTCATGTTAGTTATGATTTGATATGTCTGAATTCCATTCAGGTAAAGTTTATTTGAACAGTCAGAATTTCATTTTCTCCCCCTTTTTGTCATAATCAAAAAGAAACTTTTTAAGGACAAATAAAAAGAAACAGAGAGAAAAGATATAATCATATCAAGAAAACATTCATAGATTCATTCATTAAAAATATTCAGATAGATAAGACATCAAATAAGAAATGCAAATAAGTGCTCAAACATCAGATAAAAAACATAAAGCTAAGATTGTTTGGAGAGAAGCATCTTCAGAAGGTTGGTAATTTCAGATGAAGATTGTTCTTGCTTGAACATCCATTTCTCAATGTTGTCAGTCTTCTGATCTTGCTTTGTCGTCCAGGATTTTATCTCAGATTGACCAGCTTCCAGCATAGCAA